TGTACACTGAAAAAAAAGTTCTGGTTGGAATTACCAGAAAACCTATTTTAACTAGAATTTCGTGTTAAATATGCCCTAACTAGATTTTTTCTGGTTAGGTTAACCAGAATTCTGGTTGTTTTAACTAGAATATCGTGTTAAATATACCCTAACCAGAACTTTTTTTTCAGTGTATATGCTCTTTTTTTTGACTCGGAAAGAATGATTTTTTCTCACATATATATAATTTTCGACCAAGTGATAAATTCTACTTTATATAAAAAAATTATTATTAACAAATTAAAAATATACCCGTTTCGTTTATTATATGCTTTTCTCTATAACAAATTTCGTTTGACTGATCTAAATTATGCAAATTTTTCTCATTTTCATTCATAAAGAATAGAAAATTGTTAATAAATTATTATTAAGAAATAGGAAATAAATACACATTTTATGCATAATTTTTATTTTTCAATAACAATATTGTTCACAAACTCATTTTTTTATTTTGAAAAATAAAATGAGATATTCCCGTTTCTTAACATTTTTGAATAAATTCTCAATTTTCATAAGGATCCCGTGTAGAAATTTCCCCATTTGTCCCTATCTCTAGTAGGGACCTCGCTAGATTCTGACTAGAATCTCTAGTCTAGAAAAACTAGTCGGGCTTCAATCAAATTCTAGTTAGATAATTCAGACTGGAAAAAACTCACTAGGACCTTATCGATTTCAAACTAGACAAACTAGTGTACAAGTATGACATACATAAATTATCTTTCTATAGATATAAATAATTCAGATTAATAGATAGAAAAACTTACTAGCATTATTTATTAAAAAATTTTGCATATTATTTAATTATTTAATTTTTTAACATTTTTTAAACAAAATTTTAAATATTGTAGAATATTTTTACAAAAAATTCCAATAAAGCAATTTTATTAAATAAAAATCTTTTATTTAATATGTAAATTAAAAGAATAAAACATAAATAAATATTAATTATGTGGGTATAACTAATTTTTATTACCTAAATATTGTAATATTATTCGTAAAAATAATTTTTTTTTAAAAAGATATGTATGTGCAATTATACTTTAAAATGTTTTTCACAATTAATGCAAGTATTTAATAATAATTAAAAAGATGCTATAATATTATAATTACAATAATAAATTGAATAATATAATTATAATAATTATAGTAAATATAAAAAGCACTGCAATTAGTAATGTTTAATTTTTCAATAATGTCATAATTAATTATTATTAACTATCATTAGGAATGCATTGAAAAATTAAACATAACTAATTTATTACATTACTTTTTATATTTTTATATTTACTATAATTGTTTTAATAAATAATAATAATAATAAATAATATAATAATAAATAATATATTACAATATTTAGTTAATAAAAATTAATTATATCCACATAATTAATATTTATTTATGGTTTATTCTTTTTTAATTTACTTAATAAATAAAAGATTTTGTTTAAATAATTAAAAAATTAAGTAATCAAATAATATGCAAACTTTTTTAATAAATAATGCTTGTAAGAATCATCTAACTAGAATTAGATTGGAACCCGACTAGTTTTTCTCGACTAGAGATTCTAGTCAGAATCTAGCGAGAGCCCTACTAGAGATAGGGACAAATGGCGGAATTTCCAAACGGGATGTACTTTAAGCGGAAGTCCATCCAACCTATCATGGCCGAGAGGTATGTGTATCCGTCTGGTGTCCCCAAGGTCCAAGGTTCGAACCCTCATAGGCACGAGATTTTTCGTGTGCAACAATCATTAATAATGTTAATATGAATGGAGAATTCAATTATAAATAAGTTAAGTTGAAAAATAATAATTTTTAAAACCGGTAGAAGTGAACTAGAACTTCTAGTCGGGGCCCTATCAACTAGAGCGTGACAAAATCGACTAGAACCCCACCAGTTTCTCTAGTTGGAGCCCTTTTTCAAATGGGGTAAACTGGTGAGGTCCCCACTAGAACCCGACCACCATTTCTACACGGGATATAATTTAACATAATTTCTATTTCTTAATTACAATAATTGTTTTAATAAAGTTCAAAGTTTTTTAAAAATAAAGGAAAAAAAGTTTATAAATTCTATTTGTCAATTACAAATTTTAATTAAAAATGAAAATTTTTGAATTTTTAGAAAATAAAGGAAAAACTTTTACTCAAAAAAATGTTGTTACATTTATTTACAAATTTCTTTAATTGCAAAATTGTTCAAAAACATCAAAAACTTCTTTTTTAAATAAATATTTATTATTATTTTTCCATAGGAATTAAGATTTTAAAAAATTTCGAATTCAAAATTTTTTGAAATTAAACAATATAACTTTAAAAATATTTTTATAAAACATGAAGATATCCATTGCTCCGAGTCGAAGACTCGGAGTGATCGATTTCTTCATGTTTTATAATAATTAAAAAGGATAGAGTGTTAAAATCATTATTTTATATTATAAAAATATTGTTACTGTAACTTCTTAAATATTATTTTCATATTCTATTATTATCTAAAATTTAAACTAAAATTAATTTTCAAATCAATTTTTATTAGAAAATTCTAAGAGAATTCAATTATTTAAATGGAAAAATAAATAATTTATTGAACAAATGAATGTTTCTTAAAATTGAATTCTCATAAAGAATTTAATCAATAAATTTTTAAATAATTGAATTCTTTCGACGAACTTTAATAAAATTTTTAAGAATAATTACATATTTCGAGGACTTTGATTAAAATTGTATTAAAACTAATTGAAATTCTCCGATGAGTTTTATTATTTCTAAAAATAATTGAATTATTGAGAAGAAACTTATAAAAAATTTGTAAATATTTGAATTCCTGTGAAATTTTTATTATTTATGAAAATAATTTAATGTTTGCGTACAATTTTATTAAAATTGTTTATAAAAAATTGAATTCTTGGGTAATTTTATTAAAATAGTATAGATATTGAAAATCATTGAAATGAGAAAAATTTTTGAAAAGAATTGAAATTTTGATAAGAATTTTATTACAATTTTTGAAAATAATTGAATTTTGAAGAAGAATTTAATTATTTCTAAAGATAATTAAAATTTTGACGAGAATTTAAAAAAAATTTCAAACATAATTGAATTTTGGGTATTTGTGATAAGCATTTTATTACCTTTGAAAATAATAATTGAATTTCTCCAATCATTTGTAACTTCTTCAAAATTCAATTTTTTTTAGTGTTTTTAACTAAAATTCTTCTATAAATCCATTATTTTTAATAATTAATTGAATATATATATATATATTAACAAATTTAACAAATTTTAGAAGATTTTGATTTATTAAAATTTTTCAAAAATCCAAGTTCATTAAAGTTTCTAATTAAATTCATTCAACATTGAAATTTTATAAAATTTCAAATTGCAACCGTTTGAAGTTCATTTATTTATGAAAATTGTAAACGCAACTCTTTTAAAATTGAATTAATTTTGAAACATTTAAGTTGAATTATTCATTAAATAATTTATTTATTTTATGATAGTTGTTCAATATTTAAGTTATATTTAAAAAGAAATTGTCAGAAATTGAATAAATTGAAGGTTTTGTATTAGAATTCGTGGTAATTTCCATAGTTTATGAGTCAAACAAAAAAGGAACAAAAATTCAGAATTTTCTTATGAATTCTAAAAATTCAATTTTTTTCAGTTATTTTAATCAAAATCCCTGACTTTTCCCTGAATTCCCTGTGTCAGAATATATAATTATTATAGTTATAATAATATTAAAACTATATTCCAATTCATATTTTATTTTTCTGAAAATAAATTTGAATTCAAAATTTTTACGTTGTATTATTGCTAAAATTGATAATTTTACTTAAAATTGAATCGTGAATTTCGAAAAGGGCTCAACTCTAAAAACCATAAGTGTCATTTTTACATAACATACGACAGTGAAAATGACTCTTACGATTTTTAGAGTTGAGCCCTTTTCGAATTTCACGACTCAATATTTAAAAAAGTGAGCAAAATATAAATAAATCTATAAGCAATATGGAAAATTTAATTTTTACCGTCCGTTTGGAAATTACCGTCTAATTTCCATACTTGAACATATTCAACAAGTGCAATAGGTCTGTTGGATAAGACTCTCGACTGGTGTGGGTTAGGTTAGGGTTTAAGCTCACGATAATAATATTGGCATAAAGAACGCTTTTTAAAAAAGGAAATGCATTGGACCTTAAAATCGATTTGGATAAGAATGTCGACCGAAGTGTCCGAGGAGAAAAAGACGAATTCCTTTTTTTCCGTTTTCAACGATGAGTGCATTTCGGAAAGAATATACACAGAGTATAAGGAAGCGCGAGACTTTTGAAATTGAGAGGTAGGTGTCCAGGGCCAATTGACAGATCTGTCAGCACGATGACACCTCAGACGAACGAAAGACCAGGTGGCCGCTGTCGCATCCAAGAGGCGACTCTATCCTCGGCATCTGCCGGATAATACCGGGGATTAAAGCTGTAGGATAGGAAACTCAACATCTATTCGTTGTGCGAAAAAAAAAGGAACGAGAATTTTTCTACCTTCCCTAGTTATAAACAGATCGATCATTTTTCAAACGGTTTCGCTTTCGTCCCCGATTTTGAGATGATATCAGAGAATATGTGTGTGAATCCTTCACCGTTCTCGCCAATTACTATTTCACATCTTTATTCTGGTTTCTATATCAATTATATTTTATCTTTTTCTAAATATTTTCAGCAGCTTTCGTTTTCAATCGCGCAGTTAATCTTTTAACTATAATATACATAATGAAGAATTTTAAAGAAAAATTTTCTAAGAATAAGAATTATTCTTATTCTTAGAAAATATTATTTTTCTTTAAAATTTTTCATTAAAAATTATAATTAAGAAAAATTTATTTATGACATAATTTTTTTATTTTAAGAAGTTCTACAATCGTTTTATTTAAATAAAATTAAAAGTATAAATATATTCACTCACCTCCCAGGCGTAACGAGGATTAAACGGTTGACTGGCCCACTTTCCTCGAAATGGACCAAACCTCGCTGATCTTGGAATATCTTTACGCGCTCGAACAAAGGGACGACATCCTTCTCTTAAGCCTCCAACCTCAACTTCCGGTACCGGCGATATCCAATCACAGTCAATGGATTCTTTTTGATCTGAGGGGTCTGGTTTTATCACAACAGCTACAAATTAAAAAATCGAATATTAAACAAATTTTACAATTTGTTAAAATAAGTTTTTAAAAAATCCAATATTTTTATGTTTTGTTAAAGACAAAAATAGTTATTAATCATATAAATTTTTAAATTTAAATTTAAATTTAAATTAAAAAAAAAATTAAAAAATTAATAAAAATTAATTAATTAAAAAATTAAATTTAAATTTAAATTTAAATTTTTAAATTTTTAACAAAATTTGAGTAAACTTTTCATATTAAAAAAAGTGTTTTAAAAAAAACCAAAAACATTTTTTTAAAAAATTCAAAATTATTTAATCTGCAGATTTAAGGTATTTGTCGCGTGACTGGTCACTGTCAAAAGTTTGTATCCGTTGACTGTACTTATGAAACGATTATGAATGCGAGTTTCCGAAAAACTTTTGCGGACGTACAGTTTGACACACAGATGTTCTCAATGTATATTCATAACCTCTCGCATGAAAAACGATCGTGGCAACGTCGCAAGTTTGGCGTATGGCCGTCTTTAAAATTTCGCGCCAAAAGTAGCAGACAAGCTGTAGTATTTAACAAGCGCTATTGCCACGTTTACGAATTCATCTGTCATTTACAGTAAATGTTAAAATAATTTTTCAAGTTTGATGTTAAATATCTTTTAAACAAGACGGTAAAAAATTTTCATTTTTTTTATAAAAGTTCATTTTAGTTCAATAAATAAAACTTTAGTTTTTCTAAAAAATCTGACGATTAGTATAAGTGCAAAAATTAAAAATCTGTGGTTTTCATATGGTTTTCCTATACCGTACATTATGTTAAAAATCGAAACTTTGATTTCATTTTTTGAGACTTACAGACGGTCAATTTTATTTTAATAGGCCTTATTTTGTAGATAAATATCCAAAGAATAATGTGAAATTTAAAAAAATTCTGACGAAAACGAATTTACGCGACAAATACCTTAAGTATAATATGAACTTTATATATAGGTTCATCAATTCGTTTCAATATAAGAAATAAGTTTCAAATCTTAAAAAAATGCAGACATATTCTGAGGTTTTTGAGTCTAATTTCAGGTATTAATGACTGCAATATGCATACAAAATTTCAGGACAATCCATCAAAACTTGTCTGAGATAATTTGTACACAAATATTTTGTGCCGATTTCAAAATGTCATAGGGATTTCACTATGAAAATTATGACATTTTAAAATCGGTTAACATATTTTTTCTTATTCTTTATAGAGAAATATTAAATACGTATTTTATTATTTTTGTATAATTGCCCAAATTTTTGAGTTATGAATTTTCAAAATTTGGTATTTTTAAAGGTAGATCTATTTTCAATAGCTTATAAGTTTGAAAGTATTGAGTTTAGAAAAAAGTTGTCAAGTAAAGAAAATTTTCTTTTTTTTTCAACTTTTAAGTACCTAATGTAAAAAATTTTTTTTTTTTAATTTTTAATTAAAAAAATTACTTTTTTATAAACAAATTAATTCTTTTTAAATTTGGGCGTTATTAATTATTAATTTAAAAAAAGGTGCGTATGTGAAAAATATTTGTAATATTTAAAAAACAGAAAATTTTGTACAATTGTGATTATAAAATAGACATTATAAAATTTTTCATTTGTTTAAAAAAAATTAATATATATTTCTTTAAAATTGTAATAACAAATACAAGTTTTTCTAAAAGAAACTGAAAATTCTCTGAAATGATGCAAATTATTATTTCCATTTTTCAAAGAAAAACAGATTTTTTTTAAAGATTGTGCTTAGAAATGGTCATTTTGTAAAAATTTTCTTTTTTTTCAAAAGAAAACTCCTAATTTTGTAAAGATAATTGCAATTGAGAAACAGAAAATATAGAAAATATTTTCTATGCCCTAATGTTAATTTTTTAAGAATTTTCTAATTTTTGTTAAAGATAAGAAAAAACAGCTGCTGAATTTTGATTTGCAAAACAAATAGGTTTTTTATATTAAAAGAATCAAATTGTTTTGAATAATTTCTCTTTTTAATGACAATTTATTAACAATATTCACAGTTTTTATTAATTTTCTGAATTTCTGTTTCATAAGTGTATAATTTGTTACTCTAATGCAAAAAAAACTATTACTAGAAATCAAAAAACTATTCTCAAAAATTATAATCAAATTCTTTAAAACGATTCAATTATTTTCAATAAATGAGGCTCCGGATCTTAAAAGGGCACTTTTACCATGTAAAATCAATGTAGAAAGTGCCCTTTTAAGATCCGGAGCCTGAAATATTCTAAATTCAATTGTTTTCATTATCTATCTATAGTATTTTCATAACATTTCGAAAAAGAATTCAGTTATTTAAAAAAAAATTGATAAAATTCATCCAAACTTCAATTATTTTCATAAATAATAAATTTTCCACAGGAATTCAGTTAATTTTAAAATTTAGCATTTTCAGAAAAATTTCGAAAAAATCAATTATTTAACAAAATTTTTATACAATTCTTCACAATAATTTAATTACTTTCACTAATAATAACATTTTTCATGGAAATTGAATTTTAAAAAAAAATTTTTAATAAAATTCTAAGCAAGAATTTAATTATTTTTATAAATAATAAAACTCATTTAAGAATTTTAATTATCTTTAATAAGGTACTACCCCAGGCGGAAATTTCCAACCGGCGCGGATCCTAGCCCGTACTGACGCCGGTGTAACTGTACTGGCTCGGAACCGCCTGCCAACCGAATGTGAACGGGCATTCTACCGAATAGTGACTAGGCCAGGAGCGCGCTGGCAACCGGCTCGGAACTGGCATTCTACCGCCCGCTGACCGGCCGGGAGAAGCCGTTCCGTGTATAATTCAACCGGCTGGGACCTGGCACTCTACCGACCGCGGATTTTTCATTTAATAGCCAGCCGAGCGCTGGCATTCTACCGACTGACAACCGGGTCAGATCCAAATGATAATTTCAACAAATATCAATACAAAAAATAATAATTAATTGCAAAAGATAAATACTAATGACAATTCATTGACAATTCACTTTACACATTTTTTTATACACTTAAACGCAATTTTTTATTACATAGACATTTGAAAAATCCTAACGCTTGGGGGTACGAACCTACGCCTAACCGAATATTTACGCACCGAAATCTCGCACGCTAACCACTATGCTACGCTCGCATGGGACTCTCAAATCTTAAATACTCTCAAGTGTCACAAGCTGAAATAAAACTTGTAGAATTACTACGCGTCAATGATACCGCTATATTTTCAATACTTTATTGAATGTATATTTAGGACTATTTCAATATTTCGTTAAAAAAGAAAATTGTTATATTTTTATTATTATATAATACATATATTGAATAATTGTTTTTCAATATAATAATATTGAACGTAATAATATTAATAATTTTAATTAACATCTGAATAATAATAAATTTATTATTATTGAGATATTATTAATTAACATTAATATTATTGAGAATTAATAATAAATTATCAATATTAATATTAATTAATAATATATCAATAACAATAAATTTATTATTATTGAGATATTAATTAAAATTATTAATATCATTACCTTCAATATTATTATATTGAGAAACAATTATTCAATTATTATTGAGATATTATTAATTAATAATATATAATATTAATTAATAACGAATTTTTCTAATTATTTAATTTTTAAAAAAGTCTCAATAAATGATTACTTAATATATTGATTAGATTCATTTATTAATAATTATTTTCTAAAATAATGCAGTTACTTGTAATAATTATTTAATTTATAATGTGACAATAAATAACGAGATCCGCAGTCGGATCCGCCCCAGTACCGAGCCAGTACAGACTCAACATATCCGTCATTCTTCCGACGCCGCAAAAGAATAAGATCCGCCGGCGGAAGAAATCCAGTACCGAGCCAGTACTGACAATAGTGGGAAGACGGTTCCGACAGTCGGAGCATAATCTGTACCGCGCCGGTTGCTTTTTCAGATCCGAATCGGTACAGACCGTCGGTACTTGCGGTCTGTACGGGCGCGGATCCCAGCCGGTTGTAAACTCCGACGTTTGTCCGACTTTTCCGCCTGGGACTATTTTAAATTAGTTAATAATGGAAAAATTCAATTATTTTCACAAATAACAAAATTTTTCACAGAAATTCAATCCTTTTTAAACATTTTAATAACATTTTTCGCACTATTCATTTATTTTCATAAATAATAAAATTCATTGCAGATTTCAATTACTTTTTAAAACAATATGACAGTAATTGCTCAAAAAATGTAATTATTTTAAAAAATTTGATTTTAATTTCTCGAAAAAATCAATTATTTAAAAAAATGCTTTTTTTAAAATTCTTTGGAAGAATTCAATTATTTACAAAAATATTTTTTTTAATTCTTTGGAAGAATTCAATTATTTACAAAAATATTAGGATTTTTCACAGGAATTCAATTATATTTTCAAATATTTTTATAAAATTGTTCGAAAGAAATCAATTATTTTAAATACAATTTTAATTAAATGTTGTTAAAATAATTCAATTATTCTTTTAGATCTTAATACAATTCTTCCCAAGAATTTAATTATTTAGGTACATAAATATTTCTTCGAAAGAATTCAATTATGTCGATAAATAATTATTAAATAAATCATTATTTTTGAAAATTCAATTATTTTCAGGCATTTTAATAAAATTCTTTGCAAAATTCAATTGTTTTCATACATAACAATATTCATCACAAGAATTCAAATGTTTTTAAAAGTAATAAATTTCTTCTTGAAAATGTAATTATTTTAAAAAAATTCTAATAAAATTGTTCGCAGGAATTCAATTATTTTCACAAATAATAAAATGCTTTTTATGATTTCAATTATTTTCAAAAAAATTTAATAAAATACCACGCACAGAGCAAGAATTAAATTATTTTTATAAATATTTAAATTCTTTCATGAATTATAAAATTTGTTGCAGGAATGTATACTGACTGCCGATATAAGTTGGTTTGCCAGGGTTGGTTCAGTACTGACTTTTTCAGATTTTAAAGTGTAAAACGCAAATTTCAATTTAATTGAAAGAGTATGGTATTGCTTATCTTGAACGTTACCCAAAAAAAGAGAAGAAAACTCACGATATTCATTATGATATGATTCAAGTTTGACAAATCTTGCGCAATCGAGACTTTTCATACTAAAATCCCAAGTCTTGCGTTCTTCTTCTCTTTCCTGTAAAGAAACTGTCTGTTCCTTCTCGTATGTCGATCTCTCAATTGCAGACGAATAATCCTGAGACAAATCATGCGCATTGCTTCCATGTAAGGGCTTAAGGTCGCGAAAAATGGGATTATTGTTGTCCGTGAATGATCGCTGAAAGTTATTTTCCTCCATTTCTGTGTTTTCGCTTCCGCCCCCACAGGCATCCGCTCCGCCTACCGTTCCACTTGCTGTCTCGCTTTCGTCGCTACTTCCTGAAAAAGAACAAAGAAAAATATTTCTTATCACTATCTTCATCAAAATGTCAATTACAATAATAATTGAGAATTTCCAAACCAGAGTTTCTTCAGAATTACAAATTTAAAAATTTTTAATTATTTAATTTTTACGGAAATTTTAAATGAAATCCTCAATTTGTATTTATTTAAGTAATATAAATTTAGAATATAGTAATTTATTAGTATACAAACTTAATTGTATCATAATTAATTAGTAGGTATAATATTTATATTATTAATTACGTAAATTATCACTAAGTTTTTATAACAGCCTTAAGTCACCTAAGCAGCACGTAATAATACAGTGTAATATTACCTCAACATTATCATGTAATATTACCTTAATAACAAAGTGTAATATTTGCAGTAGACATTTTTGATATCGCAGTAACATCTGGTAATCTTACTGTGATATCAAACTGTCTGCATATTCAATAGAATAGGCTTATTTTACACAATAAAAAAGCAGTTTTAAAACGTTTACGATTAACTTAAATTCAGACAATGTATTAGCAGGGCTCGAACTAGGTGCGTTAAGTCCGTAAATTGTACGATATAATTTGGATAATTATATCCAAATATTATATTTAATAATTTGTAATTTAGAGAAATTACATAAATGATTGCAGAAATCAAATTATTTTCAAAAGTAAATAAAATTCTTCACAGAAATTCAATTATGTTCCAAAATTTTTTTAAATTCTCATAAAAATTTCAATTATCTTTAAAAATAATTAAATTCTTTTTCTAAATTAAATTATTTTTAAGAATTTTCCTCAATTCAATGATTTTCAATATCTACTATTTTTATAAAATTTCCCAAAACAATATTCAATTATTTAAAAAGAAATTTAATAAAATTCTACACAAACTTTTAATTATTTTCTATAAATAATAACAATTTCACAGGAATTTCATTATTGCAAATTTTTTTTATAAATTTCTTCGCAATCATTCAATTATTTTCATAAAAAATAAAATTTTTACAGAAATTTAATTATTTTCGTAAATAATAAAATTCTTTTTAGGAATTCAATTATTTTCATAAATAATAAAACTCATTGCAGAATTTCAATTATTTTTAATACAATTTTAATCGAATTCCTTGAAATATTTAACTATTCTAAAAATTTTATTAAAATTCGTCAAAAGAATTCAATTATTTGAAAAAGATTTGCTGTAATTTACCAAATAGAATTTAAGTATTGTTGTTAAAATATTTTTAATTGAATTTCTTCAAAGAAAATAAATTGTTTTCAAAAATTTTAATGAAATTCTTATTCGTAGAAATTGAATTAATTTCAAAAATTTGTCAAAATTTATGTATTTTCGATATATGTTTAATATTTCAATAAAATTTAACAAAAGAATTTAATTTTTTAAAAAGAAATTATATTCAAAAATTTAAAAAAATTCTCGACAAAATTTAAATTATCTTAATAAATAATAAAATTCTTCACCTTAATTCAATTATTTTAAAAATTTAAAAATTCTTGGCAAAATTTTAATTAATTTAAAAAATTTTTCCTCAATTCAATGACTTTTAACATATCTATACACGGAGAAAATTTGTTCCTTACATTTTACCGAATTTTTCAATAAACTTGGAATATAGTTGCATAATCGTAATTTTTAATAATTTTTATATTATTATTTCGGTAACAATATTTAAAATCTAATGTGATATCTTTATTCCTTAAGAACTAGTACTGTAAAAGTTGAGAAAAAATTGAAACTGAACGTTTAATGTAAATTAAATAAATACCTCCTTGATGGGCACTAACGTTTCAGGAATAGTTCGGTAAAACTTTCTTGACTTGCCTAAAGTTTTAGTTTTCTGGATTGAAATACTTTATTTCAAGTGTCCCGCAGTCAAATGAAAGACTTTCTCACTAATAGTTGATTTTTCCAACTTATTTAGACTTAATTAATAATCATTTTATTATTATTTAAATTAAAATTCAATTAATTAATTATTTTGAACACTTATTAATAATTGCCAAATATGTAATAAATGCTTTTAAATCAAGTAAAAAGAAAATATAAAATGGCAATAACATACTTATTTTTTTAACATATAATTTATTCATTTTAATTAAATATGAATAATAGTAAGTAAGTAAGCAAATAAACATAAGTAAGTAAGCAAAAAGGAAATAAATAAGTAAGCAATAAACATATAAGTAAGTATGTAAGTAAGTAAATAAGTAGGTAAGCAAGTAAGCAAAAAGGAAATAACTTGCTTGCTTACTAGCTTACTTTCTTATTTGCATACTTACTTGCTTATTTCTTTCTTGCTTACTTTGCTTACTTGCTTACCTACTTATTTGCTTACTTCCTAATTTCCTTCTTGCTTACTTGCTTGTTTCCTTTCTGCTTACTTACTTCCTTATATGCTTACTTGCTTATAATTACTTTGCTTACTTGCTTATTTCTTTCTTGCTTAGGGAGCGTTCATAAACTACGTAGCATGCTAAGGGGGAGGGGGGGGGGTTCGGCAAATGTCTACGCTAGTCTACGTGGGGGGAGGGGGGAGATCGACTCTTACTACGTAGTTAATACATATAAGCTAAAACTAATTTTGCAAACTTACTACCCGTCGCCATTGTTAAATGTGGCTGTATGCCAAGAATAAAATATTTTATTCAGAATATTTGACATTGTTTTTAATTTAATTTTTAATTGTTTTTAATGCGAATATAGTTAAATATGTAGTTTGAAAAAAAACTACGTAACACACGGGGGAGGGGGGGGGGTTCAGCAAAAGTCTACGTTAGTCTACGCAGGGGGAGGGAGTGGTCAAAAAATGACAAAAATAGGTCTACGTAGTTTATGAACGCTCCCTTACTTTGCTTACTTGCTTTTTTCTTTTTTGCTTACTTTGCTTACTTCCTAATTTCCTTCTTGCTTACTTGCTTGTTTCCTTTCTGCTTACTTACTTCCTTATATGCTTACTTGCTTACTTTCTTATTTCCTTCTTACTTACTTTGCTTACTTGCTTATTTCCTCCTTGCTTACTTTTCTTGCTTGCTTATTTCCTTCTTGATTACTTACTTTCTTATTTGCTTACTTTCTCCCGCCCGTGTGGAAAAATTTTAGGGCGCTGACCAAGCGCTTAATAGACTGTCTAACGTCTTTCTAGACCCAGGGCAGACGGTCTTGTCGAGCGGCTGTTCAGAATTGAAACGAAACTTCCACGCTATAGTCTAGAATAGACCAGCGTTTCTGGTCTGATCAGCAATGCTAGTAAATTCTAATCTACGTCTATTCAAAATTTCTCATTATATGTTATGACAACTATTCTTAGAATGATAAAACTTAATTATATTTGAAATAATTTTGATGACTTTTTTTTACATAAAAAGTATAAAAAAATATTTTAATTTTCTGTATTTTTCACTTCAACTTTCTTTAAGCGAAAGGCTTTGTGTCCCTCCCAATCTTTGGCATTGGAGATATAGTAGTCTTTTTGTAAAATAAAATTTACTGCAAATCAAAACAGCCGGATGAAACTAGCAGTCGTACTCAGCACCAATATTTAGGCGTCAACCACTAATTAATGAAATTAATAAATAAAAACTTACTAAATTTGCTATTTAGTGTATATTTATTCTCAAATAACAATATTCGATGGTTTTTTAAATCATTAAGTATTACTAAATTTGAAGGAGAGGCATATTTGTAGATGACGCCTAAACATTGATGCTGAGTACGACTGCTAGCTTCAGCCGACTAGTCAAAACACATAGAAACACATCAAAATCTATTTTTTCAGTGCACATTTAAAATTAAATTATACAGAAAACAGCAACAACATAGCACATTATTATTCACATAAAACAGAAACCACAACGAATACTAAAATTCACAAAGAAAATGCACCATACGCTGACTGATCTAACGACGCCAAACGACGCGACGCCATTAGGCGCCATGTTACTTAACAGCTGGGCATACATCGACGCATGCGCATATAACATCCTAGACCAAATCTAGACGGTCTTAATAACACCGTACTAGGCGGACATATTTGACTTAGATTTTTTCTAATAAGCCCATCTGTTAAGTCACTGATTCGGGACTTGATGGACCGTCTAGAATTTTGAAATTAACATTTTTTTAGCATTTGTTAATTAAGATTGTTTAAATAATCGATTATTGAATTGTTATATTTTTATTTTACTACTTTTAAATGTAGGTTGGTTATATTAAAATGATTTTGTGTAAAAAAAAGATTACTTCCTTGTAAAAATTAACAATATTAGGTATTTGTTAATTAAAATTGTTTAAATAATTCAACGGTGTTATTTTATTGTTTAAACATTATAATGAAATATGTTGAAAGAATAAAAGGTTTTACTAGTCAACTGCATGATAAATAAAAAATTTCCTATAAGATACATTTCTGTTATTTATTTGTTTATTAAAAATGTTTAATTAATTATTAAATTAATTAACAAATAATTTTTTTTCAATATCTTAATCACAGGTATCATAAAATATTCTTTTGTCCCATAAATATAACTTTTAAACTATAAAATATAGTTAATTTCAAAAAATCAAGTTTTTAGTCTCTAAATTGTTTATAACAAATACAAAAAAATTTTTTTTTCTATTCGCTCAATTGGATAATGTTTCTTTGATGATTTTATATTAATTTATTTCTATAAGCGATGAATGCACATATTATATCACAAACGAGCACTACTTTTATGAAAAAAGTGTTTTTTTTCAATGTTTATAAATAAATAAAAAAAAATCGAAGCTTTTTTTAAAAAATCTGCCTCGAGCGATCTCTTAGGAATTTAATGACGAGTGTTTAGAAAAAAAAAGAATAAAAATCGGTTAAGATTTACGTGCTCTACGCTATTTTGAACCCCGTTTTTCGATTATAAACCACTGTGCGTTTTACTGAACTGTAATTGAAGCGCTAATACATGTATCGTGAGCTTTATGATTTTTACATTATTTTTCAA